AAGGCTGCAAATATGTGAGTCGATGTTCATTGCTTTTTTCGTTGTGCTTTTTGAATGCTCCCGGAAAGTTATCCTTGGCATGGATTTCCTTCGCGAGCACGGTGCTGTTATAGATCTTCAAGACTGCCTCGTAACGTTTGCTGACGACTCTAGGCTCCGAAGCCTAGAGACACCGATCCGCAGAGGGCTGCGCTTCGCATTGTCGACGACACTGTCGCACTTCCGCCACGAACCAGTATGTTCGTTACTGTACAGGGCGACATAGATCATGACAGTAGTGGTATCGCTGAAGCCAACCTTTCGGTGCTCTTGTCTAAGCAAATCTGCATTGCCCATGGCATAATCCAATATAAATGTGGGATGACCGAGTTGTTGGTCACCAATTTTAGTGGAGCATACCAACATATGGCCAAACGAACAACTATGGCTAATTTTGGACCCATTGACGATGAAGCGTTTACGACGATTGCCCCAATGTCTGCAGCCGTTGAAAATGACACAGCGGTAGTGTCAGGAGTGCCTAGCTGTTGTCCGGGCAATAGGTAAATTCATACCTTACCTGTATGGTCACCCTTTCAGAGTTGTTGCCAATCATGCGCTCTGCTGGTTGGCGAACCTCAAAGACCTTCCGGATGTCTGGCCAAGTAGAGCTTACGCCTTCAAGAGTTCGATTTTACAGTTGTGTACAAGTCTGGCCGGAAGCATACTGACGCGGACTGCCTTTCCCGAGCTCCTCTTACAACAGCGTCAGGTGATCACGATCTCGACGGCCGTTTTCTCTGCGCCATTAGTGTATCCGACTTGACTGAACAGCAGAAGAACGATTCCGAGCTTCGACAATTTATCGAATATCTTGAAGGCCGCAGGCTGCATCCACCACCAGCATTTGCATGCTCGCAATTATCGTCCTGCATTCGCAGAAATATCCTCTATAAAAGAAACTTCAACCCATACGCGACTGAGTATCTGCTCGTCGTCCCGCCAGTGTTACAAGCCGATGTCTTGTCCGCCAATGTCTTGTTCCTCAGGCCACACGTACCTTGGCCCGGATTCGCCAACACTACTACTAGCCTAAGCTCAATCATGACGTGAAGCATTACGTGAAAACGTGTTGCGAGTGCCAGCGCTGTAAAGCACCACATCAGCGCCCAGCCGGCTTTTTGAAGTCGTCGCTCCTCCGACACAACTGTTCCAACAAATTGGCATGGATCTGCTCGGACCTGTTCCCCAGTCTCGTGACGGCAACCGCTGGATTGTAGTCGCTACTGATTACATGACACGCTACTGCGAAACGAAGGCATTACAATGTGGCACCGTGATTGAGACTGCCCACTTTTTTATGAAAGACATCGTCCTCCGACATGGAGCACCAGCAGTTGTCATAACTGATCGTGGCACAGCTTTTACCGCCCGGATGATGCAAGACGTCATGCAGCTTAGCGGAACAGTACATCGAAAAACTACTGCACACCACCCACAAAGCAACGGCCCGACAGAGCGACTAAACAAGACGATCGCCGACATGTTATCTATGTACGTTGACCAAGACCACAAAAACTGGGATGACATCCTTCCTTACGTCACGTTCGCTTACAACATCGCTGTGCAAGAAACAACTGGATTCACTCCATTTCGGTTGCTTCACGGCAGGGAGGTCACTACAATGCTGGATGCCATGCTTTTCTACCAGACAGGCATAGATTAGTGTCAAGACGAACGAATTTATCATACTAGCCAACGCAGCTCGTGAGCTTGCAGTCGGACGAATCCATAAGCAACAACGCATTGACTAGCTGCGATACAATGCTCGTCGTCGCGATCTCTCTTACCAACCCGGAGAACGAGTATGCTTGTGGACTCCCATTCGACAACGGGGCCGGTCAGAGAAGTTGTTACACTGCTGTTTTGGTCCCTATAGAGTTCTCCATCCTCTCAGCAAAGTGAACTACGAAATTCTTGACGAGGACATGGCTCGTCAATCCCGCCGTTCACAACAACAACACGTCGTCCATGTTTCGAGAATTAAACCGTTTTGCCAACGCGGACTATTCATCAAACTCCCTTGAGTAGGCTTACAGTAATTGTGAACATCCCCTTGTGTACTGCTTATTGTATGTGTTTTCTTTTCATCTGGTAATTATGTTGTGACATCGGGACTATGTTCTTTGGGAAGGGGGGTAATGCCACTAGTACAAGTTCTGCAAGTATTGTTTCCATAGATGCTGGCAGGCTTGTATGTGCCGCTGTTCAAAAGAGGATGAAGATGCCCTCGCGGAGAAGACGATAAAGGTATTGCCGTTGATCGAATCAGTCTGACGTACTTGCGTGGTCTTATCTACAGGTTGCAGTTACAGTGTAATGTGGCAATATGAATATCCTAAATGTATTAATATGCTCTTCCTGGGGTAGCGACAAAAAGTGTCTCATCAATCTCTATAAAAACCTCATACACTCACATCTAGATTATTGTTGGATTATCTACCAGTCTGCAACATCAAGCAGCATAAAAATGCTTGACCCTGTCCACTATTTGGTCATCCGCTTTTCTACAAGGGCTTTTGCACTAGCCCTATAAAAAGCCTTTATGCAGAATCAAATGAGTGGTCACTCCAGCTGCAGAGATGTTTCATGTCTTTTGTGTACTATCTCAAGGTGAATGCAGACAAGAAACGTCCCTCTTACTCCACAATCATTTGTCGGCTTCCGCTTTGTTCTACAACCGTCCTTCGCTGAGTCAGCGACAACAAAAACGCAGCGTCGGATGGTGGCGCACAAATGTTGCAGTGGACATTGTGGGTTCATGAAGCGCCGTCGGCACTGTGGGTGCGGTTGCGCTTTGCATGGCCTCTGAGATGGTGCGTTTCTACACCGCGCGCCTGCCATTTCAGAGGCCTTGCTCTTTGCTTTGTCTTTGCGCCGCCGTGCTTGTGTGGCTATTGCCGCAAAAAGCGCGACTTTAAAATTTTGATTGACGTCGTCCACTCTTGCGCTGCTCGCAACTGTTTAGCATGGCTGAAAAACTATGTTATGACTTTTATTGCACTGTTTTGTGATATAATGGCTCGATTTAATGTTGTTTTGATCATCAACGGCACTTGCTATCATACCGAAATAAAATGAACAGATACATTAAGAAAAGTTTTCTTTTTCTTTTTTAAAGACCAAGGTGGGGGTGGGTTCATTATGCGAGTGAGTTCGTTACACGAGTAAATACGGTACTAAACACACACCTCCTGCACACATCTGCATGCACTTCGTCGAACTCAAACACAAATACAGTTGCCCAGAGTTCTTTACAGATGCTTCAAAGTTTCGCACTGGTCTTTCCTATGCAGCTGTTGGCCCGTCGGTTTCGGATTCCAGTATTCTGAACTCCCAAACAAGCATCTTTACCGCAGAAGCTCACACGATATCTGTGGCCGTCAAAGATATCAAGGAATTACAACTACAATGCACGGCTATATACACAAATTTGCTGAGCATCGTAATAGGTTTGGAAACTCTGAAAAAACATAAAAATGGTCGCTGTGTCACTTAACTCTCTTTTATGCACGATTTACGCCCTGAAACAACTTGTTGTGTGCCGGGTGCCACGGCATCGTGAGATCGCTGGAAACAGGGTGGTGGACCAGCTAGCTGCATTCGCTCTAGACCGCGCTGCCGCCAATACTTCCATAGCTGTCCCAGCATTTGACATGAAGCCTCTACTTCGATGGGAGCTGGGGGCATGGTGGCTGCTCCTATGGAATAGGCAAACAGAAAACAAACTACGTTATCAAACAGATACTTGAAAATTGGCCACCAGTATCCAGATGGTGCTGCACACAAGTAACACTTACCAGGCTACAAATAGGACACGCACACAGCACACATGCATATTTGCTGTCTGGCGGTGACCAACCCATCTGTGAGAGATGTGGAGATCCACTTACAGTTCTCCACATCCTCGTTCAGTGCAGTGGTTTAGATGCTTTAAGGAAAAAAGCACTTTTTATTGCCCTACAGACAACAGCTCCCACTACATCTTGTCATGCTCATCGGTAGGGATGCGCTTTTAATCCGGAATCACTGATCTAGTTTTTAGAAGATGTACACAGTTTTCACCCGACATTCCGAGGTCATCCGTGGACCGTAGCTCGAGCTCCGTACAGAGGTTGCGGCTGTGGCGGCCCTCACCTTCAACACTGCGATTTATTCTAGCTACACACGTGTCACGTCACCCTCATGATTTCAATACTTTTGAGTTTTAACCCTCCTCAGGGCATGGAATTTTAGGCCCCTATATTACCACCTAACATTAACATAGCTCACTTCCCTTACATGCCGTAGTAAATCACAGTCCATGGAATTGCTTTTGTCATGTTTCATGGCGCTCTTTGGCCAAGCGTGGCCCTTGTGCCAATAAAACCCACATATAATCATTATCATTCTACTTCTGGTGTCAATGGCTTGCAGTGGCTTAACTATGAGTGCGTTGCCTTTTTAATTGTTTTTGCCCTCAAAAACACTAAGCGAAAACAAACGTGTCCATGACTGAGGTTGCTCGAATTGTCACACGATGTCGGCACCATCGTCCGGTAACCAGATATTTTTACACTACTTAGCACAGATTGGAATACATTGCGCTAAAAAGATCGCTTAGAATTTCGCTGCAGTACGATTGAATCTAATTGAAATTGAATATAGCTTAAATGCAGTTATCACTATTTAGTCAATTCCACAAACTTCAAGGTATACGTTAAGATGCGTGCGGGAATATTTCTGAATGGGAGCTAAAACCTCCTAAAAAATGCAATGGGGTGACACCGTAAATGCAGTCCGGTGTTCTGGTGACACAGTAACATTAAGAAGTATACATACAAGCTAAAGGTCCCCAGTGCGACTCAGTGATGTGACTTCTTTTACTTTTTCTCATGTAAAAATACTGTGTGTGTAGTATACCAAATAGATAGCAAGTCTTTATTTTGTGGATGATGCCGATTTTGCTCTTCTTGCTTCAGCTTTTTCAGAAACTCTGCTCTGTATATGACATAAGCTTCAAATACCGCCTCAAAGACGTGAATTTCGGCATCCTGCAGTGTAAGTTATTTTGCTTATATGCTGGCACAATTAAGCCTAATTTCTCAAGTGTTTTGTGTGCATCGAACATTTACCTTATTGTTTTTGTGCTTTGCTCATGACAGGGGCAAAGCGCGATGACCGTAACATTCAGAAACCAAAGATGGCCTCTGTCCTCTACATTTGTCAGCATTGCTTAGTTCACCTTGGAGACATAGGTAAGTCTGACACAAAGTATTTCTGTTGTTGGTTGCTTTTAGTTGTTTGTGGCATCAAACTGTGCTTTTCATCATCAGGAATGTAATTCTTAATTGGCATGACCCTCTACTGTCTTCTGACTTTCACAAAGATACTTTCATGTCCTTTCGTTTCTCTATAGTTGCTTGTTAACATGATATTCCATTACCCCCTTTTTGATGCATCAAACATAGTGCACTGTGAAAGTATTCGTCTACATGAAATTCTTGCTGCTAATATTAATGTCTGTGCATTTAGCCATGAAGTGGTACTAAAGTAATACTGCTAAAAAGTAAGTTGGCAAGCATTCAAATAAATTTTCAGAAATTGTTGGCACACCATTCTTGATGTGTTATTTGAATGCTCAATGCCAATTAACATGAGTGCCAGGGATTCATATTGTTCTGGTTGGGTCGAGATGACTTGTCAGGTTTTAATACTGTTTGCTAGAGGTGTGCAAATGGGGAAATTTTGTCTCGAACCAAATTGTGCTATATAGTAACAAAAAATATTGAGTACATGTGATTGTAATGAAAATGAAAACTGCTCATGGGGGGGGGGGGGGGTCCTCAAGCACATAATGCGGTGAGTAACTTCTGCCGAAAGACTGCACATTGTCATGCAGAAACACGTGTCGTTTTACATGACCTGGCTTCAGGCTCTCTCGCTGTGATGTTAGTGTGCTTTGTGCAGTTGAAAATGGTTGCAGGACCCAGAACTATCCTATTTGCATGAAATGTGTAAGATATGGTGAAACTCTGGCTTGCCAGGGTTTTTTTCTTTTTGGCTTGTATGGGTGTGTAGGCTTGTGATAGAAGAGTGGCCATTCCAGTCAGTAGTGGCACTCTTTACCTCCTAGTAATGGCTAACAGAGGGGGAGTGGGTGGGTGGTAAACGGTGGCTATTTTCTCTTTTTTCTATAGTCACGCAATATGGCTCATCTGACAGTGGTAACATGCTTCATTGTGATGAATGTTCTGGGCCTGAAAATCTCTAGGTTCCTGTTCACAGCCGTGTTATAACTGCACACCAAAAAAGCTCGGAGTTTCTGAAGAAGTGGTGTTGCACAGGGCAAAGTTTCACACGCGTAGCCCATCACTGACGGTTTCGAAGGCCAGAGTCGGGATGTTTTACTGTGCTTGCAGCATATGCGACCAAACTAAGCAGGTCTATGCATTCGTTTTGGAAGTGAAGTTGTGAAGGCGTAGGTGGTTTTCTTGTGTGTGTTTTTTGATGTGCTGAAGGGACATAATCTTCTTTTAAAATGAACACAAATTCACTCTTGAAGCAGGATAAGTGTGAAAGTTTTAACGAAAGGCCTACTGTAACAAAGTTAGCGTTAGTTTTAGCCACCCCACCCTGACCAAATTGTATCATTGGTCTTTATTGCCTTGTAGGTATTCATCCTGTTGAATTATTCGAAACTTCAAACACTAGCGATTCAGAAGTGTAATGGAATTATTTGATTATGTATTATTCGATTCAAATTGGAAATTATAATGTTTGCACACCCCTACTGTTTGTGTTCTTGTAGCATTCTTACAAGGTGTGAAATGTTAAACGCTTAGTTATGAATGTTGGACATAAGTCCTTTTAAGAAAGCCTTATTAGGAGCTAAAAATATACAGTGTGAAAATTAAAAAAAAAATGTTTGAAGATTTTGTCCCTTTTTAAGTATGTTGAAATTTTATACAAGGTCAGCATAGTACTGGGACCTTTGCATGTCTGCATCATCACTGAAAATTGCAGTCACTAGTGGTTGTGTTTCTGGGAAGATGTACTTTTTTTTTTCACAGTTATTTTCACAACTTCTATAGGTGGTTTCCATGTCTTCTTTTTTGCCTCACATACATTCCCGAGGTAGTACTTGTAAAAATGTCTGTACCAGATTTTTTTTTCCAGAAAATACAGATTTTTTATGAAAATTCTACATAGCAAAGCTGCTGTTGTTTTCATTACATGCACTGTAATCACAGCGAAAATTCTTTGCCCAGACAGAAATGACACTGCTGCAAGTAATTAAAGAGATATTTAATTAACTTCTTAATTGTTGACTTGTTGGCAATAAATATATGAGGAAGTTCTGAATGACAATTTATGACAAGCTCATCTTTATCAGAAAGCACAAAAGTTGCACGTAATCTGAAATATTCATTATAGAATTTTAAGGGCGGTATCGAAACTGATCGCACTGGGTGTGTGCGAAATGTGACGTCTCTGTCGCGTGAGACTGGAACTACCTGTGAAAAGGAAGCGACGAAATTTGATTGAAGGTGCATCGTGGCCTTGTACATTTTTGTAAAGAGCGGCAAGTCAGCTTACTTGCGCTGCTAGCAGTTCGTCATGCTATTGCATGTAGTGTTTGGTGCTTATTTGTTTCTTTTGATCAGTGCGCAAAAAAACAGCATAATCAACATTTTCTTTCTCTGTGCTGCGTGAAACTTGGGGCTAGCAACTGTGGCACTTCTTGCTGACAGGCAAAATAGTTTTTTGCCCCTATTTATAGTTTATGGAAAGAAACAGATAAGCATCACACCCAAGAATAAGCAGTGAGTTTTTTTGTGAGCTTCTTCGATGTACCAAGTCCCGGACCTGTCATCGAGGGCCCGCGGACGCCTCGATTCAGAGGTAGCTACATCACATGCCGACATTAACATGGAATCCAAACTACCCTAGCCAGCCCAAGCGGCCTCTGGCCATCTCCGCGCTTCATGCTGTCTGGGTCTGCTGTAACGTCTGTTTTCCTGTCTGCTCTGTCCATGGCTGCGACGCAGGCCACAACGCCGTCTACTTCTGACCTCAAAAGGAGTGAGATAGTAAATTCTACCTAAGCTTACGGTAAATAAACTACTTGAGCATGCATGCATCGAAGATACGCGGGGGTTTTCTACTGCCTGTTTCTCCTGCCAAATATTGCCTTTGCCCATTTTTCGGGAACATGCACATGCTTGACGCGGCTCAGAACACTGACGACAAGAACTGAATGCACAAAAAATGTGAAATTTGGTAACGTGTGAGAAGCGGACGCAAAAGCGATGATAGGGCAGGGCAAGAGTGCCTCGAAAATTTTTAGTGTCCAACTGAAAATGGCTACACACGTGACGCACCTCCATGCTCACTGCGCTGTTGTTTGCCAGCTGCCAGATAGAAACCGTTTGGGCAGTCCCGGGCCATCTGCTGGCCGCTAGACACGCGAAAAAGGAACATGCATGCGAGCAGTTCCGGACAAGTGGGCGGAGCTGCTAGTTGATTCCTGAGAAAAATTAATGCAGTGCCGGCGTCCGGGGCATCTGGAGCCGTCCGGGACTGGTAAATGGAAGATCTGTATATCAGAATACGTGGAGATTTTCCTGACCAGATTCTACTTTGGTGCACGTTGAGTCAAATTCCATCCATTCCTTCACACGTGTACTTCTCTTCTTACGTAACAGAGAGGCCGCATTTTTTGTGTGCTTTGCACCATCATTTTTTATATAATTTTTGATATCGCTCTTAAAATTGGATGATGAGTATTTCTAGTTACAACTTTTGAGATTTATAAAGAAGTTCGTATGCCATAAGTTAAGATGCACTACCAAATTTTAATCTAATCTTTTAATTGAGGTAAATGTCCTCAAGTGTATAATTTAAGGCAAATTAAGGAGCTTTTAATAATTAGTCAATGTCATTTTAGTCGTGTCAAGGTATCTTCACCTGGACATAGAGTTTGTGCAGACGCTTGTCTACCCCAGAAAGTTTATAAGAATATATAATTGTCTAAAAAAAGACATTCTGTAGAAACATAGGTGTGATATCTTTACCTTTCTGTACACTTAGCATATGAAAAGCTGCTTCAGCATTCTGTGTGCTAATAATTTTCGGAAAAGTGAGTGTTTTTATTCATTTGTTTCTTTAAAGTCTCTTGCTTACTGTATGCGTTAGGGGTGTCTATTCACTGTGCAAATGGGCATTCATTACAAGCCACCATAAATTTTTTTCTTTACTTTTTTTACTACACATGTTTTCGTGAGCTGATTTGACAACTGCTTATAGAGAATAAATACTAAATAGCATACCTTTTTAAAAGACATTGCAGTATTCCTACAATGCCTTTTATTCCTTGATCGCGAGGCATTTTACTCAAGTTTTTTGCGAAGTGCCAGCATGAGTAGTATGAAAAATTTAAATTGACTTCTCGAACTTGTGCAGTAATTTGAAGTGCATTTTTGTCTCCTAAGTTAAGCAGTAAATGGCCACTTTTCCCATTTTGTCTATGGTTAGTGCTGTAAATGCATGCATTTTTTGTTTCTGTTGCAGCACGCTATCGTGGTCAATCACTGCAGGCTGAAAACTTCTACCGCCATGCTGTTGACATGGGACCACGAAATGGTATGCTTAACCTACTTTGTGCTTTCTGAATTAACTTGTTAAAGTGGTTGTGTCCATGCTTGACCTTCACTTTTCTCCAGGTTTCACTATTTAAATTGATGTCTTGACAGCTAGCTAAAGAACAGAACCTAAAACATTTAGGCATGCTTTTTTTGCACCTCGCATTTCATTTTGTACTGTCAGGATATTCAGTCATTTGTGCAGCTGTACTACTGTTACTTATAAAACTATTAAGACGAAATACAAGTGCAAAATTGCTGAAAAAAATATTTGAGTTCTGCTGCAGTAGGTGTCAAACCGTAAAAGTATGCGATTGACACCTGTTTTCATAAGGTCGTCTTTAGAATTCTTGGCACACTAGAATTGACTCACGCCCATAGCATTAATAGCATTTTTTTTTTCTAAGCACCAGATTGATCGTTCTGTGTGACCGAATTCATGTTTGTATAAATAGTAAATGAATAATTCACTTTGTCTTCTACGAGAGGTCGCGAAGGGACGTCACTCACCCAGGGCTCTCGTTAATTTCGTGGGTGAGTCATTTGAATTTGTTTATGAAATATGACGCGGCTTTGAGATCACACGGGATCGTGAACTGTAGGAATCATACTTCATAAATATCTTCAAATAATTGACCCACTAAATTAACGAGAGCCCTTGGCGGCTGACGTGCCTCTGCGACCTTTCGTAGAAAACAGGCAGTGAACTATTTAATTTAATTATTTATACATATGCTAATTCTGACACACAGGACAATCAATCAAGCACTTAAATATTAACTCAATCGATGCTATGGGCGTGAGCCGGCACATTTTCGTATTGTTAATATTTATGTATATTTTCTTGTTTTTATGCATTTTTATGCTCTTGTTTGTTTATTTTTAAAGATTCTCTATTTTTTTATTTTGAGTGTTATCATGGTCAATGCTTTCCTAAGGCTGGAGCGGGTGGTACGTATGTATCTTCTTTTGTGTGAACGAATCGGTGTCGCGGGCCAATCACCGAGTGACCGAACCACCCAAACTTAAACTCAAACCATGTGTGTGATGCGAAAAAATGGAAATTCTTTGCTTTTTCTCTTTTTCTTTAGTAACTTCGTCAGGCGGCCATTTTATCTACCTCTCGTGACAATACACGCACAACCCGCCCGCTTTCAGCAACACACCGTCTTTGTTTTTTTGTCTTCTTTTTTTTTTACCTGACAAACATTCCAGCAAAGAAGAGTCACAGCCCTTTCCCTAGCTAGTTCGTTCTCTGTAACTTTTTTTTTTTTTTTTTTTTGTGGCCCCAAATTGGTTCAGCGGCCCTTTGCTATGAGATGTGCCATTTCAGGTCCATCCTCCAAAGCTGGATCGCCTGGCGAAACTATTAGGAGAAAAAAATTTTGTTTTCCAGTAGTGCACTACCTTCGAAACTTAAAGTATATATATATATATATAAGGGAAAGAAGTGTATACCTAAGGGCTCGTTTTTCCATGTTTTGACACAATAATAATGAAATATAACAGATAGTAATGCCAAGGAATGTACAGGGGAAGTTATTAGAACCAATGGAATGTAAATAAGAAGAAAAAAAAGTGGGTGAAAAAAATAACCAGCCGTGAGCAGGAATCGAACCTACGACCTTCGAATAAACGCGTTCGAGCATCGAACGCGTTATTGGCGTAACGGGTTCCACGATATAGTTAACTGGTGAAGTCTGCGACACAATGCGGTAGGGTCCCTGGTAGTATGAAAAAAAACTTCAAGGAAAGGCCTGTAGGCACAGCGGGAAGCCAAAGCCACACAAGAGTGTCCGGAACAAAGTTAGGGTATGGGTGGTTATCGTCACGCCGAGATTTTTGTCTCCATTGGTCGATGGTTGTGAACGACTGGGCGAGCCTACGGCATTCCTCGGCGCGGCGGGCAGCTTCAGAGATGGGCGTAGACTCGGAAGAATGGGGTGGTAGGCCAGAATAGTATCTAGTATGGTGGAAGGATCTTGGCCATATTACAGGAAAAATGGTGAAAAGCCCGTAGTCGCCTGTGGAGCAGTGTTGTAGGCGTATGTCACAAAAGGCAGAATGAGGTCCCAGTCGGAGTGGTCTGAGGCAACATACTTTGATATCATATCCCCTAGGGTACGGTTGAATCTTTCCGTCAATCCATTCGTCTGCGGATGGTAGGCGGTGGTAGTCCAGTGAATCATACGGCATTCGGCAAGGAGTGTGTTGACGACTCCAGAGAGGAATACACGTCCTTTGTCGCTGAGATGTTCACGCGGTACGCCGTGACGGAGAATGAAGTGCCGCAGGAGAAAAGAAGATACGTCGCGTGCTGTGGCAGCAGGCAAAGCGGCTGTTTCTGCGTATCGCGTCAAATAGTCCACAGCAACAACAATCCAACGGTTTTTGGAAGCCGTGAATGGAAGAGGCCCATACAGATCGATCCCAATGCGGTCAGAAGGCCTGGCTGGGCAAGGGATTGGCTGGATCGGACCAGAGGTATGATGAGGCAGAGCTTTCCGTCGTTGGCACTGCGGGCATGACTGAATGTACTTGCGCAAAAAGGTGTACATGCCTCGCCAATAAAACCGGGAGGAAAGCCGAGCGTATGTTTTGAAGATGCCCGCATGTGCGCACTGAGCGTCAGCGTGGAAAGCTGAACGTATTGCAGCACGAAAATGGCGAGGTATGACCAGTAACCACTTTCGGCCGTCAGACTTGTAATTCCTGCGGTAAAGGAGGCCATCGTGGACCTCAAAGTGAGCCGCTTGACGGCGCAACGTTCGAGAAGATGGAGAAGTCGATGGATCTGAAAGGAATCGCAGAAGAGAGCTGATCCAGTCATCTTTGCGTTGCTCAGACGCCATGTCACAGTTTTCTGAGAACGCAATCATTTCGTCCACGGCAGATAAACATGCAGAGCTTTCGGAGGACATAGGTGAGCATGATAGAGCGTCAGCATTAGTGTGACGTCGGCCAGACCTGTAGACAACACGCATGTCGAACTCTTGCAACCGCAAAACCCAGCGAGCTAAACGGCCGGAGGGGTCCTTCAACGTGGATAACCAACAAAGCGCATGGTGATCGGTGACTGCGTCGAAAGGGCGACCATATAAGTACGGTCTAAATTTACCTAGAGCCCATATAATTGCCAGACACTCCTTCTCTGTCACAGAATAGTTCTTCTCCGCTTTGGTGAGGGTACGGCTTTTGTGTGCGACTACGTACTCCTGGAATCCCGATTTGGGCTGCGCGAGCACGGCGCCGAGTCCAATACCGCTGGCATCAGTGTGTACCTCCGTCGGAGCAGTCGGATCGAAATGGCGCAAGATTGGCGGCGAGGTTAACAGGCTGCGCAACTTTTCAAAAGCATCGTCACAGGCGGGTGACCAAGCGTAACTTTTCGAGTCATTACGTAGAAGTTCAGTCAAGGGGTGGTGATCATAGCGAAATTCCGAATAAAGCGGCGGAAATACGAGCAGAGGCCAAGAAAGCTGCGCAGATCCTTCAGAGACGCAGGTTTAGGGAACTCTGCAACTGCCCGAAGCTTGGCGATGTCAGGAAGAATACCCTTTTTAGATACAACATGACCGAGGATTGTGAGCTGACTTGCGCGGAAGCGGCATTTCTTCAGGTTGAGCTGAAGGCCGGCGTCAGTTAGGCACTGCAGCACTTCATCTAGCCTGCGGAGATGCGATGGAAAATCCGGTGAAGATATAATCACGTCATCCAAGTAGCACAGGCATGTTTTCCACTTCAGGCCACGCAAAAGATTGTCCATCATCCGCTTGAATGTTGCGGGTGCGTTGCAAAGACCAAAAGGCATGACACAGAATTCGTAAAGGCCATCAGGTGTGACAAAGCCCGTCTTAGGCTGATCTTCAGGTGCCAGAGGGACTTGCCAGTAGCCACTCCGTAAGTCAATAGAAGAGAAGAACTCCGCACCTTGGAGGCAGTCAAGGGCATCGTCGATTCTCGGTAACGGGTAAACGTCCTTTTGAGTAATTTTGTTAAGACGACGGTAGTGAACACAGAAGCGAATTGACCCGTCCTTCTTCTTAACGAGAACGACTGGAGATGCCCAGGGGCTGTTCGAAGGCTGGATGACGCCACGCTTGAGCATGTCAGCTACTTGGTCATCGATAACCTGGCGCTCGGCTGCGGACACGCGATAGGGTCTTTGACGCAATGGCGCATTGGTACCCGTGTTGATGCGGTGACACATGGCTGACGTGCGGCCGAGGGGAGTGTGCTGGCAGTCGAAGGAATAACGGAACTTGTTCAGCAATCGTAGAAGCTGAGCACGTTGCGAAATGGTTAACGTGTGGGCGATGAAGCTGCTCAGTACGTCCGGCCTAGTAGTCTGCGGCGAAGAGGCACAGGTCACTCCGGCGACTTCGTGTTCGGCGGAAGGACCAGCTGGCATGTTGATAATTGCAGAAGGGTCGAGACAGTAAACACGCCCGACGCACTCACCCCGAAGTAGTGTTACAGGACATGACAACAGGTTTGAGATGAGCAGTCTGCTGACGCCGTGATGAAGTTCTAGAAGGGCATAAGGTAGCAGCGAACACTTGCGACGAACGAAAAGAGCAGAGGGCGTGAAAAGGGCACTAGACTCGGCGAGAGAGTTGCAAGACACCATGGTAAGGGCAAAAGAGTGCGGCGGTATGATGATGTCTTCAGCAACAAATAGTTTGTCTCCGGTTTCATGAGCATCATATAATGGAGCGTCGTCAAACACTTCAAATGCCACCTCAGCGCGAGAGCAGTCGATGACGGCCTTATTAGCGGAGAGAAAATCCCAGCCCAAAATGAGGTCATGGGAGCAGGAATCCAACACTAGCAATTCAACGACATAAATGAAGCCATCAATCGCGATGCGAGCAGTACAGGCAGCGGCCGGTGTGACGTGATCTGCGCTGGCTGTACGAAGTGATATACCTGCTAGTGGCGTCATAACTTTTTTGAGCAAGCGGCAGAGTCTAGCATTTATCACTGAAACTGCGGCACCAG